GGTAATATAGGGGTTATATAGGGAGAATGGAAAAGAAAATGGAAACTACTATTTAGGGTTTAGGGTTTCCCAAAATTAGGGGTACCTTTTTGGGGTCCCTATAATAAGGACTATAATACTTCGGGGTCTATATTGGGGCCCCCCTATTTGGGGAAACTACCATGTGAACCTGGCAAGCTGCAGGCCTCTACGTGAAATCGCAGTAAGGTGGCTGAGAACCAGGCCCCTCCTGATCCCGACTCCTCAGCCTACAAAGAGACACGCGCCTTGCAATGACCTGGCTGCTAAGTATCAAGTAGCTGTACAGAAGCCCCAGCACAGAAATCCAAGATATCGTCAAGCTGGTAACAAAGGGGCTTGCAGGGGCACTCCCCAGCTCCTCGTGCAAGAGCTTTCTCGCGTGGCTCCAAACAGAGCGGTGCGGCTTCTTAGGAGGACCCGGGCTTCACACTCATGACTCATGACGCAAGAGCTTGCTGAAAAGCCACAAGGTGCCCAGTGAATGAATCGAGGCTCAACCACGTGGAGCTCGGGGCTCTGTCGTCCGCCAACCTCTGCTAGAAGCGAGCCCCCGAGGCATCGGATGCTCAGAACCTGCAGGGTCGAGCATCGGAAAGCCATGGCAAGCCCTCCCAAAAGCCATGCATGCAGCACTGACCCCCCACTAAACAGACAGAATCTACAATTCCAAGTACCTGCTTTGAGTTGTTGTCCCTGAAAGCCATAAATCTACCTCTGGCCCTGCCCCCTCCACTCCTCTCTCTTGCCATGCACGGTGGGGCTGCCCGCGCGTCTCTTCAAAGTCACAGCCAAGTTCGAAACTCGAGCAGCAGGCTTCTTTTGAAGGGGCTTCGGCACCATGGCGCCCAGCCCACCAGGACATCCCGTGATGCTGCTTGCTTGATCTACGCGCAACATTCTGTATGGTGTGTAGCTACCAATCAGACTAGCCGAGTGCGGCTTGAAGCTATCGAAGGTGAAACATGGGCTCGCCTTCTTACACCACCAACTTGTGTATACCACCACATTCTCAAACAAGCTGCTGGCGGCCTGCCAGGCAGTGGGTGGAACATGTTACTTAAGCACCTGGAAAATAAAGCGCAATTTGCCTTTCTGATTTGAGCCTTCTTCGCTGCAGCTGGGTTTTTCTGAAAGAAAAACATGTCCAAGGCCGCCTGATCTTGGGTTGCTAACACCTCTTTTCTTGCGTGCCGAGACGCTCCAGAACGCCGGTGAGACATCTTGATGCCTCACGCGCTTGCTCGGTCGCTTGGGCTGCGCTGTCCACCAAGCTGTTCTCACACACAGCTCCTCAGCATAGCAGAGGTTGAAGCTTGTGGCACTCTGTGGATGTACAGCCGAGAAGGGGAGGTCATGCAAAGGCAGTTCAGAAATTCCTGGCTTTCATGCTACGACGGCTACGAGCAGCTCTTCCGCGAGTGCCTGTGCTGGTTGTGATCTGGTTCAGTCCGAGGCTCGCAGCCTCTTCTCCACCTACAGATAGGAAAGGTTTGGCATCAGCACGCTCGGCCATCTAGACGGCACTGCATTAACCTTGTATAATCCTGTCCCCTACTGTCAGCCGAGACGCCCAGTCCAGCACCCATAAGTCCTCTGAAACAAGCTTCTGCGTTTGGAGTCGCAGAACTTCTTTCGCGGCACTGGTCAGCAAGTCCATCCAGCCTGAAGAGGACGATGCAGCAGAGGCAGACCGTGAGCAAGGTTGTGAGAATTCTCAAGTCACGGCAGCAGCCCAGCAAGCTGCGCAATCTTGCAAAGTGTATAAGGACTTGGGGCTCACAATCCAGGTTCTGTTAGGACAAATCTTTGCCAAGTTACCAGCAATATCCATTCCACAATTGGCTCTCCTCGGCCACAGCTTTTGCCAACCCTCAAGCAACTAGCTCACAGCTACTGAAACCCTTCCTTCCAAGCACACACCTGACATGCTCAGCAGCTCCAGCTTCTCTTCGACCAGCCAAACTCTACCTATATGTTGGCCCTACTTTTCAGAATGCCTGCAACGTGAAAACACTGTACCATGGCACGGTGTTTAGTGGACAGCCATGCGCGAATACAGCATCAATGGAGATCAAGGCATGCTCTAGAAATCGCACAGGGTCATCAGTAGCTGACACTGCTCCAGAAACTCGGACTCCGAGTCGAACGTGTCTTTCAAGTCCGCAATCCTGAGCCCATTTCCCAAGACCCGGAAGATCCACCCTGCGTGGTAAACTGTGCATGGCAGTTCGTTCCTTGCACATCTGCGAAAACGGAGCCAACACTGATGTCGAGCTATGTCTGGAAGGTGCGCTAGCTTAAATATTCTAAAACTCATGGAAAGACATGCTTCTATGACATCATCTTATCCTTGTCTCAACTTCTCAGGTAGCTTGGTCAGCCCGGACGTGCACAAACACTGCGAAACTTCCACTGGTCGGAAAGCAGCTGCACGAAAGCTGCTACTGATACTGTAGCCAGTGACATCTTACCATGTCCCAGCCAGGTTGGGACACGCTTCTTTTCACGGACGGACTGCCACTCAGACTTGAGAAACCGCCAAACCTGCAGCGCATTCGAAGCCTCAGACTGTGTGATGTTGCTACTACATAGCAAGGAGGCTCACACAGCTGCTTCGATAGACCGCACGGCATTGACAAGGCTTGGTCGAACCCAGCAAAACCTCCGGCCAGCTACAAGCTACAACTGTCTCGAATAGAGATGTAAAGAGCACGTCAAGTTTGGTCCTCACCTCGAACTTTCTTCCTCGACGTCTGAATGCTGTAAATCTCAGGGGCCGACATTCAGCCAGTTGTGGTTGATGGAAATCGTCGTGGTCAAGTTTTCTACCTGTCGGTGCAGGAAGTTGCAGCAACTGGCGGCTGCTTGGCATTCATTCCCAACGCCAGCACCGCAAAGAAAAGCCTTTCTAAAACAGTAGGAGCAGGCAGCACTAACGCAAGCATAAATGACGGCAGATCCACACACTTCGATTGCAGATTGGCGTCACCTTGCCAACCCCCGGACATAGCTCAATGCCGTGCATAAAAAAACACCAAATGACGTAAGGTAACGTAAGGAATGTAGCCTAGCGTAGCGCATCGTAACTTAACATAACGTCGCGTAGGGTAGGGTAGCAGACCGTGGCATACGGTAGCGTTGCCTGTGGCAACATAGCGTATTTAATGTATTGACAGGACTGTTTCTGAACAAAATTCAGAAAAAAAAATCCTGACAAGCTCACTGCTGTGAAGTTGAAGCAACTCCGGCTCGCCTCATGATACCATCCACTGGGCACAAACATGATCTCCCCCTCTTCTTGGAAAGCCTCCAGCCTCACGAGGAAGCGTGGAGATGTAATATAGCAAACTAATTATCTCATCAAAAGAATGAAAAGGCTCAATCCTTCATCCCTATATCTTCATCCCTATATAGCCCCTATTTTGCCCATATTCAGCCCCTCCACTCTGATTGCAGACCCGTGTTCTCAGATTTGCTTGGCTACACCGTTACAGGCTGCACTTCGTCAAGCCAAGCACCCTAAACCCTAATAGCATGTAATCATATATATGTATATATATAACCCCCATAACCCCCCAAAAAAACTGTACCAGCGCCTCATGTCCCAGGCTTGCTGGAGCCCAGGGAACTGCCCCTGCCAGCCATCCACCCGGCGTTGAGGGTGTGCGCTTTCAGCTGCGTTCCCCAACCTGGCCGGAACAAATTGCCACATGAAGCAAACCTGCTTGAATCCGGATTTTGCCTCAGAGGCTAGCGCACCAAAACCCAGGATGCATCACCGATTGATTGCATCAGGCTAGAACTCAAACCCAAACGACGACAAACCGCGCAAACAGAATTCCCATTTGGATGCGAGGGTTTAGGTTTTCTCTTTCGGAGTGGGATGCTGATGCTTGCACTGCCGATGCCAAGAAAGGAGGAAACCCGCGTCAAGCTGCACGGGTTCCAACTAAACTCTGCAAAACCATCAACCAAGCTTATACACCTTCCATGCATGACAGTTCTGTACAACAAGGCGCGAGTCCAGAACGTTGCTGCTCACCTCCGGCGGGTAAAAGATCCAGTGCTTTCGGCCACAGATGTTCGCAGACCAGGAGTGTGAGAATAGCACATCGTGGTGTAGTGGCGTTCGCGTTCCCCTGGCAAGCAACAACAGCAACATGTGCACATCTTCCAGACGTGGCTGACATGAGTTTCAACTGTTCCAAGGCACGCAACACCAACGTAGGAGAAGCGGTAGTCGTCCTGATGCGTACACATGGTTAGGCTCCGCGGAAGAGGGAAGGGCGTGCAACTACTTAGCTGGCTTAGAATCCAACGGCCAGCTTGAAGAGAATGTCTCATGTGACCAAATCTCTCATATGACAAAATTTCTGTCCTTTCTGCCAGCTGAATCCATGTGCAGGTTCAGCCAGTCCTGGCCCAGTCGGTGAAAGGCACTGGACCAGGGATACACGATCTTCTGACTTCCCGACCCGTGGGTGTCAGCATGTGGCTCCTGCAACGGCGCTGCCAGATAGCCAGGAGCTTCATATGGCACCTGTGCTTGTCAGAGCCTCAAGCTAAAGAAAAGATGCCTAGAAAAAGGTTAGTTCCCAAAACAGGGCTGACGTGTTGACACGAATACAGCCTTTATTCAGTGGTGTGCTATTCATTACTTGGGCCCAAAAAAATTACAAATACCGAGGAAAACCGCCTTCCAGAGCTCAGCCAAGCGCCTTCACCCCTTGTGATCGGCAGGCCTGTACCAAATGCCAATCTTTGAGATACAAAGACTCGCCTCGCGTGGAGCTGCAACCAGTAGACAGGTGTAAGGGCAGGGCGCAGCTCATGTTCAACAAACAAGAAAACGACGTGTCCTTCACGCGGGCCCGAAGCACGGCTCGCCCAGTCGAAATAGTCCCCAACATCCTTCAGCAAGAGGCAGCCACGGTGGACTAGAGAGACAGGGTGTCATCTTGGTCACCCAGAAAGCATTGACTTTTGGGCTGAAGGGCCCAAGAAATGAGTTCAACACGGTTTGGAGTAGACTTTGAAACTGACATAGACTTCAGCGCTGACATGGACAAAGGCCATTTGCCGACGGCCTCTTCTGGAAGTCTCTGACATTTTACCCAAGTGTAGCCGTCTTGTGGCGAGCTGGGACGTGCTCAAGTGTTTTTAAATCTATCTGGGCTAGAAAGGATCATACATGTGAATTCTTCTTGCTGGCTTGGGAGCCCATGTTTCAACGTCGTAGTTGCGGCCGCAGTCAACCACGGGGCCTGTCACACCTGGCAGTCAGCAAGTTCCACCAAGAGCTTAGGCGATGAGGCCTGCATGGCACGATCTGGAAAGGTTTTTGCAACTCATAATCTCAACCAGTGATATAAAAATACAGTAATGCTACAAGAATGATATAGTAACAATACAGAAATATCTTAATAATAGAATAGCAATAATATAGCAATATTGTAATGACACAGCTGTGATGGCCTCGGAAGTCTGCCGCAAGCTTGGCCAAGTCGGGCTCGCCATCTGGCCGACACCACTCTTGGTACGCAGGCCAGGTGGACACCAGGTCCAGCAGAATGACTGGCCTTGTTCATGGAAGCCAAATGCTTTCAACCACACAGAAAACAGAAGCCTGTGCGGCCCATGGATCAGACATGAATTAAACTCAAACTCACACTTGCCACGGGTCTGCCTGCTGTCCGCTGCATACCGTTCGAGGAAAAGCCTTGTCGACAGTTCGCGCCCGCTTACGCGCTCAACTTGCTCAGCAGCGGCGGGCGCCACAGGCTTGGCCATGAGGAGCGGCTTGCAAACATGCTTTCCAGGCTAACGAGCAGCTTTGCCAAGCCAACTGCAGATATGCAAGTGCAGACCTAGTTGGAGACTAGTAACACACCGCGTGGAGGACGCGGGAGCTCAACCTCTGTCTAAATGCGGCAAGCACGCCCTTTTAACCTTCGCCTTGTTCAAGCAATAGGTGCTCCTGCAGCGTGCGCACCGAAGGATAGTCAAAGACCGTGGAGGGAGTGAAAGTCGTGGAGAACTCGCGGTTCAACATCGTCACCAGGGACACCCCTGACAGACTGTCCATCCCCGCGTCGACGAACTGAGTGTCCAGCTCAATCTCGTCCGAAGTTGAAATAACTTCCTGGATAAGGGCGTCTTGGCACACGTATCATACTATAGGGGACTATGGCATCTGCAGGTTCCAGAAGATAGGCTCTTCAGGGGCCATGTAAGGTTCGACGAACTTGCTACAAGTACAGCTTGAACCAGAATGATTGGAAAGAAAATAGATGGCAGACCTTGATTGGAAATTGACTCTTCGAAAGCTGAAGCCCTGAATGAAGCACAGCCCATAACTGCCTTGACGAGGCGTAGAAGCTGCTTCTGGACCTGCTGGGGGTCCAAGGTCTTCGGTGGTTCCGGTGCCATGACCACTTCAGTCTTCGTTGGCTGTGGCGTTTCTGCAGGAGCTACATCAGGCTGCGCCTGGGGCTCTGGTGACGGAGCTGGCTTACGAGACACTTCTGCTTCAAAAAGTGATGCTTCGTACTCGACCTCCAGGTCTCCACAAGACCTTGCCAGCTGCAGCACTTTTTGAACTGCTTCCAAGGCTTCGTCTTTCAAGCCCTCAGCAAAATAGAGCTCAGCCATCAGGAACCAGCATCGCAGGTGGCCCTCAGGATCCCCCAGCTTTGTCAACAATTCCGCGGCATCCGCACAGAGCCGGCGAGCTTTTGAATGCCAACCGACAGCTCCCACGGCCTGCGCTCGCCAGTAGAGTGCTTTGGCTCGGAGCATCCCATCCCCAGCCTTCCCAGCAATGGCTAAAGCTTCAGCGGAAGGCCGAAGCAGCGTTTCCTTGAGGTTGGCCGTCTCCCCGGAAGCTAAGGCAACTTGAGCCAAGGCAAGTAGAGCGTGGACTAAACCTGGGTTGCTGTTCCTTGGAAAAAAGTTCTTTTGGCCCGTCTAGAGAAGAACCTTGCAAAGGAACAATGTTGAGCCCCCAATGTTCTGAAGTTAAAGAGGGATATCGTCCAAGAGCAATTAAGAAACCATGGCGATCTCCACTTCGCCTGCACAATTCCCGGCTTTCAAAGGCCAGGTGTCTTGCTTCATGCAGGTTGCCGTCGGCACGCTGCAGGTCTGCCACCTCTTGCATTGCCAACGCCTCTAATTGCAAGTCGCCGAGGTCTCTTGCGATCTTGAGTCGTCCCTCGCCTGCTTCCAAGGCAGCATCTAGGTTGGAATCCAGTCGGTGAATTTCAGACACGATGCGGAGAGCCCTGGCTTTACCTCTCCTGTCTCCAGCAGCCTGGGCCAGGTCGCAGGCTTCCTCTGCCAATGCCAGGGACTTCACCAAGTCACCGCTGTTCGCCACCGCCACGGCAAGGCGAATGCAGCTGGCCGCCTCACGCTTGCTGTCCTTGGCAGCCTCCGCCAGACCACGCTCTGCAGTGGCTGCCTGTGCAGCTGCTGAGAAATTCCCGTGATCCAGGTGGATCTGGAATAGTTGGCGGTGGGCCTGGGTCTCTTCCAACCGATCTCTTGAGTCCCGTGCGATGCTGGCAGCTCTATTCAAAGTTCGCACTGCCTCAGTCACATCGCCACCTGAGCTTGTGTGACTTTGATCTCTGGCTTGGGTTGCCCCTGCCTATTTATTTCTTCCATGCAAAGACCTTACTATGCCACCTGCTGACAAACAGGGAATTGACACATGTATGCTTTGCAAAGTGACTTGAATGAGAAATCCGGAAGTGGGTCTAGCCCTTGAAGTAGGTATCACGCAGGATAACTAATGACTCTATCCGGTGGATAAAGCAAATTAGCTCGCATTGTTCCCAGAGCCGTGCTGGATCGACTAAAATGGGAAGCCGCCTGCGAGGAAGGATGCCGCCTCACAGCGACATATCCTTGCCTGCTGAGGTCAAAAAAGTGTTGGACCACAAGCCCGACATGAGCCATTGTCTAAACCTATATAATCCCATATAGAACCCACCTTTAAGGAGTTCGGACTATAGCTCACATGAAAGCTGTGTGTCGGATCAGGAAGGAAGTGGTGTTGCCGGCCTGCGAGGTCGAGTAGCCCTTTTCCTGGACGAGCTGCTGCGCATCCTGCGCTGTTGGGAGGGCCAAGGGTTCAAAGTGCGTGGCATATGTGGGCATGTGCGAGAAGATGCTAGGATACGCCTAGGCAAAGTTTCAGCACAAGTCGATTGAGTTTGCATCTCTCATGTCATAGTAGGCCTTGAGCTCACCAAGGGCCCGTTCCGGATGTCGGGAGGCCAAATGCGCACAGGCAGCAATCTCCTCGAAAGTATTCTGTGGCTTTCCCTCATCGACAGCTGACGTGACGACGCAAAGCATGCACTTTTGGGGTTGCATGACAACCACACACACTCTGTCCCAGCTCAGTACATCAGCTTTGTAGCACAACATCCGAAGCAAGTGTCTTTGCCTGCCAAACATGACTGAAATTCTCCTGGGAGGCTAGCTGGCCCTCGAAATCAGCGTCCTTGCATCCGTAAAGAAAACTTTGCTCACATGGCCAACCATGAGTCTCATTCAGCTGCAGAGGGGTCACAGCTGTCCTTGCAGAAGAGGGCAGCCTGCTCCTTCGCGATCTTTGCTGCTGCTGCAGATCTCCCTGACCGCGCCAAGGCCTGCCATCTGTCAAGGTTTCAGGTTTACACTTCAATTTGGCTGAACCAGCTGCGTTTCGCAGTATCAACTCCTAGCACTCCTCCGGTAGCTTGAGAACATAAAAGGTGCCTCGCAAAGCAACGAGAGAGCTTTCGACTGCCAGCCTGCAACGAAGCTGGCAAAGATGAGCAGGAAGGCGTCAGAAAGACACGACAGCACAGCTGACCAGGAAGCGCCTTTTCCATAACCAATGGCTTGGAACAGGAGGAGAGCCTGTCAGAAACAAGACTAAGCAGCGCCCTTGAAATGCCATCTACTGCCATAGTAAACAATAGTCGTGTACTCATTGCTCTGGCATGAATGAGCAATGTCGTAAAACTTAAAAGAATCACTGCAAAGCTGGCCTGCTTTGCTGCGGCCGCTGCTCGCAGGGGCTTTCCGGCATCCAGCTGCCATTGCCCCACTGACACCAGCTCAGCTGCCTGCTTTGTTCGCTTTTAGCCAGTGCTAGGCATTGCAACGACTGCATGAAAAACTTCCTCTGTGAAAACAGGGCTCCATGATCCGTTCCCACCTGCAGCTTGTCGTCACCAAGCCTCCGGAACAAGGCACACGCCTCCTCCGCCTAGGATGGCATTTGACATCAGAAGCTGTCAAATGTCTAGCTGCAGGTGGATTTCTGCTCGCAACTGAAAGCGATGTCCGAGGTCACGCTGGCTTCTGTTTGCTCAGCACATGCAGTGAGGCAACGTGAGGCAACTGGTGCCCATCAGTGACCATTGGTGCTGAAAGAATCGCCGAGTTGCATGGGCAGCAGCACCATCGTAGCGATGTCGGCTCGCCATTGACAGCGCAAGACCATGCAGGGCTTTTGCCTCCGCTAACCCCATGCTTCACAGACCGCTTGTACAAACGCGCCAAAATCTTTATTACTATAATAATAGTACTAAGAAAATAAGAAAAATACAAACAAACATACTAATGATAGAAATAGTGTTATTAGTATATAACAATGATACCAGTGATAATAATAGTAATGGTAATAATAATGGAAAAGAAAATGGAAACTACTATTCTATGGGGGGTTCAAAATCCAGCCTGGTTCATCTCGTCCCCTAAAGCCTGGAAGATTGAAAGAGCGGACTGACCGGCCTGAGCTTCCATGCTGTCAACTAAAGGGATTTTAATATTCCTATGATATTCCATTGTGATAAGGGGACTTTAAGGAGAACCCCAAGAATGTAGTAGAATATTCCTACTATATTCCTTAGGGATTTTAACATTCCTATTATTTGGGTTATTCCCCCTTACAATAACTGTTACCACAAGGGGTAATAGGAATTATAATAGCCCCTGAATAAGGCCCCCTTTAAGGACAGTTACTGGGTGGGGAAATGACCCAACCTATTGTATTCCTTAGGTGGACCCCCCACCCAGTAATAGTGACTATTCTTGATAATAAGGATTATATTCGGGTCCTCTGATATTCCTATTATACCACTATTAGGGTGGGGGGGTCCTCCTAATATATTCTATTGCGATACAGGGACTTTAATGGGAAACCCAAGAGTATAGTAGGAATAGAACGGAATATGAGGACCCTGGTAGGTATATTCCTTTTATATTGCTACTATATTCTTGGGGTTCCCTGTTTGCGGTTCCCATCAAGGTCCCTGTATCAACAATATTGATAACAGTGATAGTAATAAAGAATAATAATGATCGATAATCAGCAAAATGATTATGTAATGATAATTAATAGTAATACTAGCGCTTCATAATGACCATTAATAGCAACAATTAATAGAACTGATACTAACAAGAATAATCAATAAGCAATAACAAGCAGTAATAATAGTATTCATCATCAGTAAGCAGTATACTAGTAGTAGTAATAGCAACCGTGATACTAATACTACTGCTGGGGTCTGCAGCGCTCTGCTGGATACTATGTGTAGCCACGGCGCATGCTCGGCCTCATCTGGCATCTGCATTTTGAAGTAAAGGTTCGTCAGGATGAGGTACGTGAGAGCCTGAAGCCTTTGATCCTGAATCTCCTCCCAGAGCTTCTAAACAATTGGGGGAAATCTATTTGGGGGACTGTCAAAATTATGGTCCCTTTTTGGGTCCTTATTATAATACGGGGCCTAATNNAAGGGACCATAATTTTGAGAATCCCCCATTTGTCACCCAATTGTTTAATTAGTATTTGGCCTTCAAAACGAACTCCTTCCCCACTTGGGCAAGTCGGCGGGGCAAATGGGTCAAGTGGGACGGATGCCTTTAATCTTCTTCCCGTCGCAAGGGAAAATGTTTCCCCCAATTGTTTAGTGACCTTGCCTGATGCAAACTAAACTTAAACGCATCAAATAGCCAGCTGAGCGCTCCACATCGCTGTGTATTCTTTGCTTGTCAACACTCAAGTCGCTGCTGTTTGCCATCATTTGGGCAGCGATCAAAAGATTGTGTCTGGCCCATGGTAAAAAGTCCCCTGTGGCATCCCTCCTATAATTTCCATATAAACCCTAAACCCTGAACCCTACGCTTTTCCCGAAGATGCTGATCTACCGAGAGCGTTATGCGGGCATGAAAAACCATCGTACCTCCGTAGTTCCCGAAAATCTACTGTTTGCAGCGCTCCAGTTGAGCCTTGAATCTCGTTTTCCAACAACAGTGTGTTGATATGCAAGAACAGCTGATGGCATTGCTTGGGCGGTACCATCTCGTTTTGCAGACTAGACGCAGAACTTCCAGGAATCATGACATACGTTATCAGACCGTTGCTTACGAAATCCGACGCCGTCCGTCCAAGAACTGCCCGAAGGACTATTAGCACTACTATTATTACACAGTATTACCTATGTGATTACTACTATAATTACTATTGTTAAATTGTTGCTACTGTTATTGCTACTATTATTGCTACATGTATTACTAACATCTTTACTACAAATAAAATGGCGACTATCAGCATTACTACTATCATTATTGCTATTCTTAGTATTACCAGTATTATTACTATTTTTATGAGGGTCCTGAAAGGCGGACAAGGCCTCCGAAGCAGCCTCGAACGCCTCGGACCGCTTCTGCGCACCGCGGCGGTCCATGTTGATCTCCTGCAGTAAGAAATAAAAATAAGAGTAAGAATAATGACAATTTAGTAGCATTGTAGTAGTAAGTGTAATAATGAGAATAACAATAACGATAGTAACAATAGCAATAATAGCACTACTTGTTGGCACTGCAATTCTAGAGAGCTGGATTTGGGGGGTTTCCCAAAGTTATGGGATACCTTATGATACCTTTTTTCCGGGTCCCCTTTATGAGGGTTATAGTATTTTGGGGCTCTATGATGAAGTCCCCCTCTTAAGGGAAACTATCCTAAACCCTAAACCCTAACCCCTAAACTGCTTTGTAACAACCCTCCACATGCGGCTGAGCTGCAGCCAGAGCCAGGAGCATGCAACCCTGACCCCGACGATCACCATCTGCTTTGAAATGAGCCTTCCATGACCGAGAAGGTATTATTGTTACTATTATGATGATTATCAGTATTATTAGTAGCAGTACTATTTAGGTAAGAATGATAATGGTAACAAGTAATAGTAACTATTGCTATTATCATTCTTACTATCATGATTGTGTTGGCAAGACATCTGTTGGCCGTGAATGCAAACCCTCAGGCCAAGGAAGCTAATTTTGTTACACATTACTTCAAGCAGCAAGTGCAGGGCGTGTAGCTAGTCCAAGAGCGGATTGGCTAGAATGGCTCAAGAATTCTTGAAGCCCACCTGTACTCAAGCATGCTCGAGTAGAGTAGCCAACTAGAACAATGACTCAGACGACAGCAGATCCAGGCACCAGCTCATCTGAAGCCAGCAGCAACGCCTCCACTCCAAGTGCTCAAAACGCACAAGCTTTGCACATAAAAATGGTAGTAATACTTGTAGCAATATTAGTAGCAACAATTAGTAGCAACAATTTAACAATAGTAGTAATTATAGTAGGAATCATATGGGTAATATTTGTAGTAGTAGTAGTTATAACAGTAGTACCTTCCAAACGTTTCGGAAAATGAATTCAGCTACGGGGTTGGCCTCCTCTGGCTTGCGTCGTTCTGCGGCTGCTTTGAGGCGGTGGAAAGCCACAACCAGCCGCAGGGCGTCATGCACACCGGGCAAGCCGGCTGTCCCTGCACCAAGAGAAGCGCAGGCTTGGCAACACCAACGCTCACGAGTTTGGACCAAGGAGTCGAGAAACATGATGCATCCATCGTCTCCGAAGTCTTGCAACATGTGCGCACTAGTTTGCTATTGAGAGCATGGGCGGCGCCTAGGCCGCGGAAGATTGCCAGTGCATCTGTGGCGGCTGCAAGGCACTCGGGACTCAAGCCATCCAGGCTTGCCTGAGCGCTGACCAGGAGTCTCCGAGCAGCCTCACACTGGAAGCCAATTCTCAACGAAAATCGCTCTTTTACTCGTGTTGTTACTCCTGCTGTTGGCCACACAATGCGTTCCGTAGCAGCAGTAGTAATCCGTGTGTGGGGTCTTGGTGTTCCTGGTCCTCCTGACTCCTGATCCTTGTGGTGCTGGAGGTCCTTGTGGCGTTCGTGCTGGCATTGGCGATGGTGGCGTTGGCGATGTGGCGTCGGTGGCGACGGAGTTGTCGCAGCAGTAGTAATAGGTGAGGCGGAGGAGAATGGAGGAGGAGTAGTAGTAGCAGCAGCAGCAGTATTTGTAGCAGTAGCAGTAGCAGTAGCAGTAGCAGTAGCAGTAGCAGTAGTAGTAGTAGTAGTAGTAGTAGCAGTAGCAGTAGCAGTAGCAGCATTAGTAGCAGTAGTCATCTAAGCGGCAGGGGATGGCGTAAGAGAGAAGAGTTGTCACAAGAGCATTGACTTGTGGCAGAGCAGGCGCTGGGCACCTCCTCTGTGTAACTTGTCGAAGGAGGTGAGGCCATGGCAGCGCCCCCATGGTGTCTCTGTTTGAGTTTCCGTGGAATACGAGCAATCTAGTGAAGATGTTACAGTATGCAAGTCCCATGCTGGGATTGACAGGACTCTAACTGGACCCCTGACCGAGGCTGCAAGGGCCGGTGGTTTTCTGGTGTGTGCGATCCTGCTGGACATCTGCTGCTGATATGTTGGTCCTGGGTTCAAGTGAACTGACCGGCAGCACTTCCAGTGAAAAGCGGAGATTCGTGCCATGCAACGGACTGCACGTATCAAACACGGTTTTTCCCAAGCCTCACAGCAGTACTCGGCCAGGATGCAGTTGCATGGAAACCTCTTCATGTCTTCGACTTTCAGAGGTTTCCTTCTGGATCTGTCGCCTTCAGATTGAGCATCTTGAAGCAAGCGCTGCGAACTTCTGCGCAGAAGAAAGCAGCGCGGGAGACTCGCCCCAAAAGCCCGTGGCAAGGTATTAACTAAGGCATTGAAGTCGCATCTGAAATGAAGCGCCATGCCTTGCTGAGGCTACTCCAGCTTTGTAGAATGGCAACAGATTAGCTGGGCCGAGTACCATTGCAACAGGATCTTTAGCATGAGAAAAAGATTGCTTGCACAAACGTCCCATTCTCCGTCCGCTGGATGAGCAGCGGCAATGCATTGACTTAAGATAGTGATTGAAGCCAAATCAGAACATCATGAGACCAGAATCTTCCTGGTACCAAGTGCACTTGCAATCAACATGTCAAAGATGCAGCTGGAACGCTCAAGGCGAGGAGTCGCTTACAGCACACGCAGCTGCCATAACTATTGCCATGAATGTTGATGGGCCTTTACGGCTTCAGAGGCGAACTGAATGGCCTCAGGACCTGGGTATCCAACACAAGTCAAGTTTCTTCCACCCTCGTGGGACGCATCACACTGATGGGGTTCCGGCTTCGCAACGCCGCCGCCAAAACCATGTCGCGATCCGCCTTGCAGACGACGGGTGGCCACTGCGAATGCAGGGACTCATGTTGAAGACGACAGATCCCTCAACTGCACTACATGAGACATGGCATACAAATGCAAGGGGGGGCATAAGAGGTTCTTTTGCGTTCGATGCCTTCAGCGCATCGCTGCTATGTTGTAGAGCCATGCCGTCCTCAACAACTGCAAAGCTCACAGCCACAGTTGCAGACGAGTTGGCCGCTCGTTGCCGGTCCTAACCTCTACAATCTGGAATGCTCCCACTGCGGGATAGCCTGGGAGATTGCCGCGAAAACCACGTCCCGATCCGACCTCGAGGCTGCTGCTCTCAAGCTTCGTTGGTCTGCATGCATGGCCGATATCTTCTGGCTTCTGTGAAGCAACTCACGTGGTAAACCACTCGCGCGTACTCTTGCAGGGGCAGAAGCTTTAAAACATCACCGGCATGTCGCAATGCCATTGGGTCAGTGCGGACCTGGCCGGCACATGGGATTGCACAGCACTTTACATAGGATGTCTGAGCCAACAACGGCAGAAAAGGGGTGGTGTTTCTAGGAGGGGTGGAGATGGGAGCGTAGCTCTGCGCAAAGGTAAAGGCTCTTCCACCTGGAAGATGCTGGGGGTGTCAAGTTTACTGAAGGCTTGCTCCGACAGCCATATGACAAGCCTTGCTTCCTGAGAAGCAAGGCCGTTCTGCCGTTCCGCAGCCACACACCGCTTCCTCCACCGAGACCTCCCCTTCACCCTGCTTGCCACACCCAAAACTGTCTGGGACGGACCTGCCCAAGACCGCTGCGCTAGACAAGGCGTGGAAATCTGAAACACAATGCCTGAGTCTAAATACTTCCAATGCATGGACCTTGTCCTACAATCTGATGCCCCAATACCGAGGCTGTACAAAATACTTGTTCGCGCTGCTACCACCCCAAACCCGCTGTCAGGTCTGTGAGGCGAGCCGCCGTGCTGCCTGAATGAAGAGATATCACAGACAGGAATTGGAGAAGGGATCGTGCTGCTTTGGCACCACCCATCCCGGGAATAGCATGCCGGCAAGGCAGCCGCCATGACCACGCCTTTGTCTACTCGCATTTCCTGCCACGGCTTGTCACAATCAGGGTTTCTAGGTGTTCCTGGTTTGGCAACAACACCTCTGGATAAAGCTTTGATTCACCCCGGTCCTGTGGCAAGTGCTGCAGTACAGCGCTGTTGCGCCTGGGGTCATCCAAAGGCTCGCACAAACTCCGTCATGCCTCGCCCTCTTCCAAAGAGTCCCCGGCTTGACCGCCTGTCTCGCCTTCTTCCTGTCAACGCCTAAGCTACGCAGCCAAGGTGTCATGAGACCCACTCAAATCAACTGTTCCCATGTGACTGTAACGTCAGGTTCACACTACACATCATAGACTGAGGTCAAGACAGATGGCCGGATTTGCTGCAAGTATTGCAGCGGGGTCCTGAAAACTTCTAGCTGCGTAAACGTGCTTCCGGAAAAAAAAACTCATCAAGCTCGCAGAACGTCAGGAAGATCACGAAGAGTGTCCTATTACCTTTCATGGTGTGGCCAGCCTTAAGTTATCCGCGCCTCTAAGCTGCAAAGCTTTCGAAAAACGCTGCGCCTTAGATCGTGCGGCATTAGTCGTAGGAGCCCAAGGCGCAAACAAACTCGTCACAGGCCCGGACATCACATGTCTGGCAATTAGCCGATTCTTACGTTCCTCATCCGACCTTGGCCCCAGGCTGCCGGAGAAAGGAAGTGCCATGAAGTGCCACGGCCGACCCTCCCTCAAACCCCCCAGCGCATGCTCTTAGGCAAGGAACAGGATGCGAACATGGTGCGAACCAGGCTGTCCTGAGCAACTGAGCAGAGATTGCTTGGGTTCTCATGCGCGCGCAGCCCTATTGCAATTTCCTTTGATAGGGGAAACCTAATATAGATCCCAAAATACTTTAATCCTTTATAAAGACCCCCAGAAAGGTACCCCGAATTTTTGGAAACCCTGAACCCATCTAAACCCTGAACCTTGCATAACCCGTCGCGGACTAGCGAGAGTCAGTGTCGTTCCAGGATGATGCAGCCAAACTCATATTGGCACTTGGAATAAACAAAAACCCTATACAACCCCTGCATAGCCAATGTAACTCCGTAAAAAGGACTCTGAATTTTGGGAAACCCCAATGCGTAGTTTCCAATTTCTTCCCCATTATCCCTATACAACCCCTATATAACCCCATACAACCCCTATAGTTCCCATTTTCTTTTGCATTATCCCTATATATCCACAACCCTAAACCCTAAACCCTCAACCCTAAATTCCCACCCGGCCTGCTTAGGCCGATCCCAGGCCGATCCCACCCATTACTAGGGTGGTCAGACACTGAAGATACACGTCAGCCTCTACACCCGTACTGGGTTCGACAATGGGAGGAGCCTATTGGAGAGTGGACGTCTAGAGCCCCCCCGGGCTCCTCCCGTCTAAATATATACAATGTACATTGATTTTCCCCTTGCTAGGAATATCCCAAACCCATGACACACAGCCCTGAAAAGACGCCCCCATCTGGTGGTTTCTAGCTGAGGCCAGCGCCCTGGAGGCTGGAGACCTGCAAACCTGGAGGCCCTGGGGCTGGAGGCCCTGGAGGCCCTTGGAGGCCCTAGAGGCACCCTGGAGGCCCTGGAGGCCCTGGAGGCCCGCCTGCGTCCTTATCTTTACTTGAATGAGAAGTGAGAAGACGATCTTTTGGAGGTGGGAATTGAGGGCGTGGCCCTAAACCCTAACAGGAAGTAAT